ACAAGAACATGCCTGAAGCTGTTCTGAGATTTCATTTAGCACGGTGGATGGTATATGTAGAGTCGTTCATTATGGAAAACGCTGCTCTCATCCCCTCTAGCGAGGGGCAAAGCAGATCACAGTGGCACATCCACAAATGTAAGCATCTGAAAGTATGCTTGCTTGTTTGTTTTTGTCGTTGAAGTAAATGCTAAATCGTGCCTGCATAGCAAAAGAGGTCAAAATCAAGGTTGTCAGTCAGTTCCTGCGCCGCTATCAAGTCTCCCTAAGAGGATTAGTGTTTGTGGCAGATAATAAAAGGACAGGATTGAATCAGTTCAGGTCAGTCTTAGCCCTAGATGTCCCAAACATTGTACACAAGAAAAAGAAGTAATGTCCTGGCAGAAAATTACCAGTGCATTTTCTATTTACAGAACATGCATTGGAATAAGAAATACTGTCAGTTTATTACCAAGTTTATTTTTTTACCATGGCATTTTATGTAAATATTATACACGGATGGTAGAGCTGCTTGATTTTGCGAAAAATCATAATCACGATTATTTTGGTCATAATTGTAATCACGATTATTTAAAACCAATATCAGTTGAAGTCAAAATTATTAGCGCTCCTGAGAATTATTTTTTTTTTTAAATAAATATTTCTCAAATGATGTTTAACAGAGCAAGGAATTTTAACTTAATTATTCTAATTAAGCCTTTGAATTGCACTAATCTGAATGCTTGTATTTTGAAAAATATCTAGAAAAATGTAATGTGCTGTCATCATAGCAAAGATAAAAGAAATCAGTAATTAGAAATGAGATATCAAAACTATTATGTTCAGAAATAACTTTAAAAAAACTTCTTTCCAATAAACAGAAATTGGGCAGGAAAAGGGTTGTTAATATTCAGGAGAGCTAATAATTCTGACTTCAACTGTATACATACAGTTATTTTTCACCCTGCAAAGGAAAGATAAATAAATACAATAGAAAAAATATGAAACAAACTGTGCTTTAGGCATCTTCACTGTAAGAAAAACACTTTAGCTACAAAAGTCCTTCAGTCAAGAGCAGTAAGGAATTTTCTCATTTTGTTTGATTAATGATAAAAACAGGCGGCAGCAGGAATATTTTGCGCAGTCACTTTAATGGTTTCTTTCACGTGTCTTTTGATCCTCAACTTGTTTGTTTATTACACGAATGAGGGTTAATATGAATAATCACCTATTTGACCATTAAAGCGTTAAGATGACTTTAGATGTCTGCGCTCCTCTGCTCGTCTCAGCGTGCGAATGAGACCGAATGCTGACCGGCCGCATGCTTCTGAATTTGTGTGCTTGCCGCACACACATATAAGCACGCAGTCTTTCGCGCTTTTAAGAGCAACAACTGTGTACAGCTGGAAAGGGGGCTGTATATGATGCAATAATCGTTTATCTCGATTAATGCTTTTTAATAATCGTTTGAAGTCGAAATCGAAATCGGATTTTCGATTAATTGCACAGCCCTAACAAAGGGCTAAATAAATATATTCAACACGTCACCATTTTCTCAGAAAATGTATTTCTAAAGGTTCCATTGACTTGAAATGTTCCCCAGATGATGGTAACAATAAAAGAAATCTATATATGCAAAGAAAACAAAACTAATTAGTTTACAAATTAAGTTATACATAATAAAAAGTGACACAGGAATAAAGTATTGAACACATGTAGAAAGGGAGATGTAGAAAGGCAGTGATAGCCCAGACAGCAGCTGAAATCTATCAGTAGTTTGTCAGCAACCCTCTGCCCTTCCTCATTATAAATTAATATCAGCTGCTTCAGTCCAACATCTACAGGTAAAGTCAGAATTATTGAAGAATCCCCCCTTCCACCCCTACTCTTCCCTTTTCCTTAATAGGGCGGCACGGAGGCCCAGTGGTAAGCATCATTGCCTGACAGCAAGAATGTCACTGGTTCAAGTCTTTACCTGGCCAAGCTGACATTTTTGTGTGAAGTGTACATGTTGTCCTCGTGTTTGCGTGGGGTTTTTCCCGGGTCTCCGGTTTCCTCCCACAGACCAAAAACAAGTAACATAAGTAAACTGACCAAACTAAATCGACACCATAGATGAGCGATTAATCAGCAATGTTCTCTCCATAGTTATTCAGAAGTTGCATTCACTATTAACAAGCAGGGGCGTTCTTGAGATATACCAGAGCCCAAATTCCCTTCTCGCCCTGCAAACGGTAGGGAGCACCAGGCTCGGGGATCTCATAAGCTTTGGGGCCTCTCCTGGGACAGCATGCCAAACACGCTTTATAATCAATCATCAGCTGAGTGTGAACACCTGAAAATAATATTTTAGTCTCGGAAGATCTTTATAAATCTTTGTTACTGTTGTCATCGCCAGCAGTGTTTTCTCCACTGGAGATTGCATCCAGTTTTCCCACCAAACTACAACTCCCAGAACACTTTGCACCCATCAACCCCCTGCCACAGCTGACAATAATCCAGACATACACACAGACACAGCTGTAGCTCATCTCCACTGATTACGTGGACTATATATACCACTCACTTTCATTAACACTTTGCTGAGTCCTGTTTCTTCCATGAACATTATAAAGCGTTTTTCTCTGTCATGTTCTTGTAAGGTTCATCGTTTTGATTCCTCGCCACCTAGCCTGACCTTTCACCTGTATTATGACTATGTGTATTTGATTACCCTGTTTTGCTCCTGTTTTTGACCTTTGCCTGTACAACCTGTCCTGTAACTGATGTATATGCACAAATATACTATTGTATAGCATCCTATAGAAAATATTCATTTAAAGATTTATGAGGGGTGTATTAATATAAGCTAGGCTCTGTACAGTATTGAGCTTCATTTTTAACAGAAAATATGGTGGTGACTTTCTCCAAATATGAAACATTATCCAAATTTTGACCATTTTTACAAATGTGTTTACTTCTTCAGCGTATATTATACTGAGTTTGTCAACTTCTGTAATCTATTGCCAATTAGCTGCCAAATTAATTATGACTGTTCATACGCATTAAAATCCTCAAGGCATTTTCAAAATCTTAAATGTAATCCGAGGCGGATCTAACCCCTCACATTCATTATCAACAATCCCTCCAGCTTTCTTTCACTAACTGTAATTACCATCAGATATTTCTGGCATGGATGAACGTATGATAGACCGTTTTACAGTAATCCCTCATGTTTTTCCAGCATCAGGCTGTTATAAAGTCTTGCTCGGTTCTGGATGTTTGCCAGCCGCCAGGATCCACGATGTCTGATGCAGATATAGGAATGGCATCTTTAATTATTCAGGACGGTAGACAAGAGCAGTGCTTTTTTTGCTTTAGGATGGAGATTTTACATCAGACGTCATGTGGAGACCCGAGATGGCACCGCAAACTGTGTAAACAAACATGTCCTTGAATTGGAACATCAGCATTTATTAGGATTACCTTCAGCAACGTTCACTGCAGAAAGTGCATTAATGCCATTTTTTAATGCATCATACAGTAGACACTGCTTAAGTGTCTTTAAAGGGATAGTTCCCAGAAAAAAAAATCCCCTCATCATTTAGTCATTCTTTACTTGAAAGGATTTATTTCGGAAAAAATGCTAAAAGTCAGTACCCATTTACCTCCATAGTGTTTGTTTTTAGTACTTTAATTTAGCTCTCAATCCATGCTATTAACTACTGGCATATTACCTGCATATCATTAAAATATGAACTGTTCATCAGCACTTATAAAGTATGACCTTATCCTGGATCCCTAATCCTACCTGAAGAATCTAACTAAGGATCTGAAAATTCTTGAAGCAAACTTGTGTGTGTTGTTTCAAGAAAGCAACCATTCATTTGTTTTGTGTTTTATTTTCATCTGTTTTCATTCATTTATTCTTCATTTATTTATTTTATTTAATCATATTACCATTAGCCATTTATATAAATATCATTATATCATTTTATTATTTATAGGTTAATGATTTGATTATTTTTAATTCAATACAATTCAATTCATCTTTATTTGTATAGCGCTTTTACAAGATTGTGTCAAAGCAGCTTCACATAGAACAGTGGTTATCAAACTGTGGTACGTGTGCCATTAGTGGCACGCAGGCTTTCTTCTAGTGGCACACGGAGGAATCAAATATGTCATATGTACATGCTACATATATTTCAAAACTTATCAAAAATGATTTATATGTGAATATGACATATAATAATATTCATTTTATGACCTATAGCCTATTTCTGAGGTCCAGGCAACATTTTCAGGTGTTGATGAATTGGCTACTATATGTTAATACTTTACATTTAAGTACAGCACTTTTTTTTTTTACCTTAAGCACATTTTAATTTAAATGTTGACGTTTTTAGTTGTTTTTTTTTTGTTTTTTTTTATATAAGCACAGTACAGTGTTAACGTTTATACTATTTATGTTTAAAGTGGCTGACAATGATAAATATTCTTAATAATTGTACTTAATCTGCCACGTTTTTGAACTGTGCAGAACTGTAGCTGCTTTACTGGGCGACTAATACGCTACTGTATTTCAATACTGCTCAGTATGGGGGTACTTGGAGAGACAACTTTTTCAGGGGTAGTACTTAGTGAAAAAGTTTGAGAACCACTGCTGTAATGTATTTAAAATAAAATCAGTTAAATAGACTTCAGCATTCAATTAGTTGTTCAAGCGTGAAACGAGATGAAAAGCCGCTTACACGCACATGCCCATCAGGATCAGCAGGCGAGTGCAGAAGCACCATTGAAAATACTGGGGTAAAATAAATGTTCACATTTTAAAGACATGGCGTGGGAAAATGTCATTTTAATGCAGTGCTTCTTGTACAATCTGAGACCCACTTTATATCCTATATCGATCAGGCAGTGAAGATTGTTGATTGTCAACCCAGGTTGCTGCAAAATTAAAAGTCCTTCTGCATATACCCTATAGTGAGTAAATTAACATTTTTGAGTGAACTTACTAACTTTAATGTCTTGTTTTGCAGGTCATCAAGCAGGAAGGTTTGAGCAGAACAGTGTCCGAATGCACTCTCTTCGACCTCTTTAAATACAATGACATCAACGATGACGAACACCTTGCTAAAGAAGAGTTTTATGCAGCTTTTGGTGAGTAAAGTGGCAATTAAGTTGTGAAAATGAGCAAAACTGAGAGATGTTTTCTTCCGCGTAATTAGTCGTGTGAGCTCAATGCGCATTTAGTAACCGTGACACTGATTTTGTGTGTCATTTTTGTAATAGCAAAATGGATAATTGCTTATTTTTTCTAATGAAGATTCCAGTTTTCAGTCTTGTTTTCAGCGTTGATCAGTTTCTTCTTTATTTAGATCTATCGTTTTTTCTAGTTTACTTATTGATTTACTTTGCTGATACAGTACCTTTTCAATATACCATGGTTTAGGTACATAATGCAACATAGGCTCATTTTGAAAATGTAACTCTATATACATTCCTGGAGATCGCAAATTATGTAGCCACAGGAACATATGACGGCGTTCCTTTTCGTGCTTACCAGCTGACTGCTTAACTCCGTATAGACGGCTTTCACGCTGTTATCAGTTTTTCCAGTAGCTCGGTATGTGAGTCGGCAGACTTGAGACGCAGAGTGAAGTTGATCACGATGGATTTGAGTCTAGTAAAGAAAGGTTCCAGAAAGCAGGTAAGACAAAAACAGAGGCCAAAAAATAAAATAAACAAGTAAATAACAGGGTGAGAGTGTGGTAAAAATCAGGCAAGCGCTTTTCTTTTCCTGGATTGCTTTTGAAAACACTGTCGGTTGGGTTTAGGGAAGTGCATGGGCGCTGGTCTATTGGGGTTTTTGAAAACACTATTGGTTGGGTTTCGGGAAGGAGGAGAGTGGGTCAGTCAGTCAACAGTGGCCTCTGGTGGATTTACGCTTAACAGCATGCACAAATGGCCCTGGCGAGAGAAATTTGAGATCTGAAAAAGCGTACACAACAGCCTCTGGCGCATTCGCAAAAACAAAAACAACAAAAAAAACGTACCTCCTAGGATGTATTTGGCGCTCTCTATAAATGTATACAGCGGTACGTTTTTTAGAATTAGCCTGGGTTGACATATTGAATGAAAGTTCCTGTTTTAATTAGTGATTCACTATTAGTTAAAGGGATAGTTCATGCTAAATTTAGATTTTCTGCTCGTTTACATACCCACAGATCATCCAAGATGTACACTGAAAAAAATGATTCATTTATTTTACTACATTTTTAAGGTATGTGTTTGCAAACAATTTATATGGACGGATTAAGTTGGACATTACTAAATTTAAATAGTTTGTTCAAACTCAGCCCATATAAACTTTTCACAACCACTTACTGTTCCTTAAAATTGAGCAAATCTAATGAATCTTTTATTTCAATGTAGGTGACTTTTTTTCTTCAGTAGAACATGGATGAGCTGAATTTGTGGATTTGGGGATTCATATAATGGCAGTGAATGGTGACATATTTTTTAGATTAAAAGCCATGGCTCCTAATGGCACCCTGAGGTCTTGCGAAGCGAAACAATCAGTCCATGTTAGAAATTGTACAAGATGTAGAGTATTGTTAGTTTTATTATTTAATCCAGAGCCTGGTTTTATGTGTATATTTGTGTATATCATTTGTTCAGTACAGTTTGCTAAAAATGTTGATCCAAGTGACTCTATAGAATAATTGCTCTGCTCCTGATGGTATATAATGAAAATATTGACATGAAGAAAAGTTGAGACAGTGTAATTTAATCTGTGATTTCAGTCAGATTTTCGGGCTAACATATTTACTCAAACACATTGCAGTATGAAGCATATTTATTTTGACCTGTACATTTAAATTGACTATATATTTAAAAGAAAATAGAGATCTTTTGTTGTGATTTTTTTTAAATTATTATTTAGTTTTTTACAGTGCGGACAAGAGATGCTCAAAATAACCGATTAACCGTTAACCGATAGGGTGCGTTTGTAACCGATTAATGATATCAGTTAAATGATTAAAATATTATTTTATATATTTTTAAAGTTTGGCTGCATAAGAAGCTGATCACAGTGAACATGCTTTTTGCGTCGAGAGGAGCATCTGTTGAATGGTTTACTAATGGCCGTGAGTGTTTTAAGCTCTGCTTATGCGCCCAGCGCGCCTGGTTTTAACGGAAGAAAAAACTTGTTTGAACAAACAGCCAATGCCGGTTCTTAAAAAGGATTCAGTCAGCGTTTTTGTTTTGTAATTTAAATTTGTCATTCAAGTAAAAAAGATCTACACCAGATTTTATTTTTTTGTTTAGTTTATTCTGTTTTTCTAGGCTGCTGAAAACACTGCAGGTGCGTGAAGATGCTCTGTTATGTTCTGTATGCTCTTCGCATGTTAAAATAAATCAGTAATTTAAAATGCAATATTTAATGTCACACACAATAGACATGTTTTTTTTATTATTAAACAATATTTTTTAATATTAATCTGTTAACGGTTAATATTCGGTTAACAATCGGCGGTTGTTGGTTGGCAAAATTAGCCGAAATGAGCATCCCTTGTGCAAACACATATCATTAAATTTTGGTCCAAAAATGATAACTAATTAGAATCAAGCATAATAAAAAAATCCTTCAGATATGCTATAAACTGCTACATCTTATCCAGAACTGCTTTTTGGATGCCAGCTCTGGTTTTCATGGCAAGTTCACACTATTGGCATGTCATGTAATGAAGTTACATTTCTCCATTAGCCGGTTTCGCAGGGTCAGCGGCCTCTGAAATGGACTGTGACTCCAACAACCCGCCGTTAGAGAGTCAGATCTCGCGGTCACCGTAAAGGTGAATGGATCCTAATTAAGCTCTAATTGAAGTCCACACTCATATTTTTCAGTAAGCCACTGAACAGTGACGGCCAGAGTTAGATTTCTCTCTTTTGTGCTCTCATTAACAGACTTGCTGAAGAGAAACTGAGGCGCTCTAATTAACTGCATGACTCGAGATGCGAGAAACATTTGTTATCGACCATTTGTGTCAGCCTGGAAACTAAGTTGTACATTTAAAGTAGATGACGCTTAGACTGCATGCTATTCAAGCTTGATGAAAGATGTTTTGTATTGGAAAAAGTGAATATAACTGACCTCACTGAACTCAGATGGTCCCTTGGTATTATTTTTGTATATTTAAACTTTATAGAAGTGCATTTTTTCATGTGCGACACAAATTAGGTCGACGAGATTATCTTATGCTCACCAAGGCCGCTTTTTTGATAAAAAAAAATACCATAAATACAGTGATATTGGGAATCCTTATCATCTTTTCTGTGCTTTATAATATTTTTGGAAACCATGAAACATTTATTTCAGGATTTGTTGTTGAGAGAAATTTAAAAATAACAACATTTATTCAAAATAGGAATTTTCCTATTAGATTCTGTTGTTCCTTTTGATCAATTTAATGCCTCCTATATGATTAAAATATGACTGTACAAAAAACTACTGTCTTTGAACTTTTGAACTATATATTATGTATATGTCTGCATCACATCATAATTCATATCAGTAGAACAATTTAAAACAGCTTATTTAACTTTTGTAAGGAGAAAGTCAAAATATGATGTTCCATCATCAATAAAGGATATAACGTATACCAAACTTATATATTTACATTTAATGCAAAAAAATAAATAGATTATGAAATTTACAGAATAGGCCTGTTAAATGCTACAAAGCAAAGGTTATCATGCATTTTTTTTATTGTAAATATTTTTACAAATCTTCCTGACAAATGGGATAAATATGGTGGTTAGAAAATGTGTAAATTGTAAATGTGTAATTAAATGTGTTAATTAATAAGTATTTCTGTGTTTGTATATGAATCATTGTTCTTCTAAGAATAATGGTACACACAGACATAAAAATAGATATGAAAAATATTTATCTTCATAATAAAAAAGGTACAATTGTTATAATTACATTTAAACCAACCCACAAACCAACCAACCAACCCACTAACTCACCAACCAACCAACCCACTAACTCACCAACCAACCCACTAACTCACCAGCCAACCAACCCACTAACCCACCAACTTACCAACCAACCCACTAACTCACCAACCAACCAATTAACTAACCAACCAACCAACCAACCCACTAACTCACCAGCCAACCAACCCACTAACCCACCAACTTACCAACCAAACCACTAACTCACCAACCAACCAATTAACTAACCAACCAACCAACCAACCCACTAACTCACCAACCAACCAACCCACTAACTCACCAACCAACCCACTAACTCACCAGCCAACCAACCCACTAACCCACCAACTTACCAACCAACCCACTAACTCACCAACCAACCAATTAACTAACCAACCAACCCACTAACCCACCAACTTACCAACCAACCAACCCACTAACTCACCAACCAACCAACCAACCCACTAACCCACCAACCAACCAACCAACCCACTCACTCACCAACCAACCAACCCACTAACCCACCAACTTACCAACCAATCCACTAACTCACCAACCAACTAACCCACCAACTTACCAACCAACCCACTAACTCACCAACCAACCAACCTACTAACTCACCAACCAATCAACCCACCAACCATATATATATGGTTTATATTACTTGTATATACACAAGTATTTTTGCTGATTTCTAAGCTCTCAGAGAAACATTTTGTGAAATTCCTTTCCTAATAGTTCCTAATTTAAATATTTTTTACAAATCCTCCTGACAAATGCGATAAACATAGTGGTCTGAAAAAGTGTAAATATTTTAAATGGCAATTAATGAGTATTTTGCTGCTTAAATCGCTTTTTTCATTTAAAATTAACCAGCCAACCACCCAGTCAATTAACAAACCAATCAATCAATCAATCAATCAATCAATCAATCAATCAATCAATCAATCAGTCAGTCAGTCAGTCAATCAATCAATCAATCAATCAATCAATCAATAAGCCAACCAATCAATAAATCAACCAATCAACCAACCAACCTGTCAATCAATAAATCAATCAATAAATTAATCAACCAACAAATAAATAAATGAATAAATAAATAAATAAATAAACTTCCCAATCAATAAATTAACCAATCAATCAACCAATCAACCAAC